AGGTCCATTCTTTGTGCCTCTGTTCCTCTTTTCATACTCGTTTCAAAACTTTGATTGGTGAAAAGATTGTGCCTTTCAACTTCTGATCATCTTTCGGCATGGTGAGTACCTCTCTCCCATTTAAAGTCTCGTGCTTTTCAATCTTCCAATTTGGAATTCATCGGATTCGAACCCTAATAAGAGCCAATGGGTAAAAATGTTGCGACATTTTGCGGCTGAAGTGGGTAAGGGCGTAAAAAAAATAATCTGTTCTTGAGGGAAAGATAGACAAGGGACCACTGTGATCTGTCTTTTTGGATTTGTCTTTGGTTTCTTTCTGGTCTTCCCTTTTGATTTCATCATTGTTGAATTGATTGGATACTTTAGGATAACTGTATATCCTAAGCTCTCATACTCATCTTTTACCTTTTCTGGCTCTCTCCACCATACACGAAGAAGGAATTTCTACCAAATCATCATAAAATTCTTTTTTATCTTCTTTCACTGAATTATAGAAAAGATGGGGAGGGTGAGAAGCAACAATCGTTTGGAGACTAATTTTTGCGCACTCTCTGTATTTGGTGAAATGTCAATTTTGCAATCCCATTTTTGTGAACTTCAATGTCGTGGATGGAATTTAGAATTTCGATTAACTATCAAGCGTTTGTGAGATTTAGTCTTATGATTCTGTTTTCTCCGTGTGGCTGTGTTTGAAAAAGACATGTAGCTGCTTCTTTTGTGCATTCATCAATTATATTTGTCCTTATTAGATGTTCACAAGTGGAACAGTGTCTTTTCTTGCTTCTTCTTCTTTTCATCAGACATTATCCTTAGCCAACCTCCAGAATTTAATAAATGTCTTTTGAGTTTGGACAAGATTGTTCTTTTCTTCTTATTTTATCCTCTTTCATTTCTTTTATGTGAATTTAATCTGCAGGATTTATGATGCTTGTTTGTACCTGAGTTTGGGACGAGGCTGAAGTACATCTGGGGAGGGAAGTTCAACATTCTGGTTTTATAACAGTAAATGCCAAACCCCAAAATCCTAGGATGTGTGATTCACCAGTTTTGAGATCTGAGTAAGCATTTGCATTTCTTGTTCTTTCCCTTTACCTGTAGCTTCAAGCTTCAGATTAGCTTTCCTTTCTGCTTACTTGTTTACTGGTATGCTCAACAGATCCAATCTTTTCCCAGAGTGTTCATATTCTGGGGAATTTCTCCGTGACCGAGAAACCAAGTCAAGAGTAAGTTCAGATGAACACACTCTTGTGTGTTTCGTTTCAGAAAACTAAGCTATCTTTTAAATAAACTTCCGTTGTCGATTGAACATCATGCTTTCCAATTGCTTTATGCATCTCCTTCATCTGGATGGGCTTTGTTTCATGCTTGCTGGTATAAGCAGGGCAGAGGCCAGAGTGAAGAGACCACGAGCATCGAATCATTTCTGTACAGATTTCAACTTGAACAGGATGTGAGCTTCTGAACTCAAAAGAGTAATTGATCATTCCCCTAATGTTTATGGATGATCACAGCACGAAGTTACTTTCTTACAGGTCCAAAAATTGCAACAGCAACTCCGAGAGGAAATAGAGTTGCATAATTTTCTTGAAAATGCCATAGAGAAAGATCCGTCAGAACTATCACTTCCTAGTTGTGTTCCAAATCATGTCCGGTTACTCGCCTCCTGTTTTGTGACAACTTCAATCCCACATTTTCTTCTCTTTTTTCTTCCCACTTATAGTTACCGGAGAAGTACTTATTCAGTGTTTTGTATAATTGGTCTGAAATCGGGTAGGCTCAGGAGATTCTTTCCAACATTGCGACACAGGAGGCCGCAGTTGCAAAACTCGAGCAAGAAATGGTATCGCTGCAATTCCAGCTAAGCCAAGAGCGGAATGAGAGAAGACTCGCTGAATACCATCTGACGCACTCCTCTTCTCCCTCAGTATGTATTTCATCCCGCACAATTCATCATTGTCTGATTCCTTTTTTTTCCTCCATTATGGTTATAATTATGTCCTAGTTATACAGAACTCTTCTACTTCCTTGAGGCGCTCAAAGCATTCAAATCCTGAGTTGCTTCAATCGGCTGAAGATAATTCATGCCACGAACAAATAGTCCAGAACCCAGAATCCACCTCTGAATGTTCTGCAACAGAATCTCCCGTGGAGGTATAAACTCTAAATTTTCTTTTTTATCCAAGAACATTCAATGTCAGCCTATTCACGTGCATGAGTTTGATGATCTGATTTAGAAAGTTGTCCAAAACGGATGGCCCATTTCTGGGTGTGTGACATTTTACTTACTGAACCAGAAAACATCAGAAGTGACTAGCGGTTTCCTTGAGAAGAGGCTGCTGAGAAAGATTGACACCAGACACCAATGCCAATCTGCAAGTTCCAGAAAGTTGCATCGAGGAATGCCACCTAAAGGCCTCTGGGATCACCCCAATCTATTGTCTGAAGAAATGGTGAGGTGTATGAAGAATATCTTCATCTCTCTTTCTGATCCTACAGTTTCATCAAAGTTATCCACAAATGGGAGCCATCTCTCACCTGTATCACCTCGAGGGCATCTATCCAACCACTCATCATCATGGTGGCCGTCAACCGAACGGTCTATGATCTCATCCTGGGTGCAAAGCCCGCAAATCGATGTCCGGAATAACCCTGATGTCTTGGCCACAGGAAATGTCTTTGATCCATACAGAGTTCGGGGTAAGCTAAGTTGGGTGGAGATCGGGAACTATGGTTTGGCAACAGAGGTTTCTTGGATGTCTGTTGGGAAGAAGCAGCTTGAATATGCTTCTGGTGCGCTGAGGAGGTTCAGGTAATGTAGTTTCCTTTCTTGTTTTGTGGGTTTATCTCACGGGTTCAGCGTAAAAAAGATGCATTTTTTGGGGTTGATCGCATGAACAGAACACTGGTGGAGCAATTGGCTAGAGTAAACCCTAACCATTTGAGCTGCAACGAGAAGCTTGCTTTCTGGATCAACCTCTACAATGCATTGATCATGCATGTGAGTTCTTTTTCTCCCCTCTGTTTCTCAAGAAGTAAAAGAATTTGTTGTTGGGAAAGGTTATGATGTTTGCTTTTCCTCCTTTTTTTTTTGTAGGCATATTTGGCATACGGTGTCCCAAAAAGTGACTTGAAGCTCTTCTCGTTGATGCAAAAAGTCTGATAACTGGAACAAATCATTAATTTCATTCATTTTCAATTCTTTTCTCCTTCTGATTGTTCAATTGTTTTGGGATCACAGGCAGCGTATACAGTTGGAGGGCATTCATATACTGCAGCTACCATCGAATACGTGATCCTGAAGATGAAACATCCTCTCCATAGGCCACAAATCGTATGAGCTTTAGCCTTGTAGTAAGGAGTTCATCATGAGGATCCTTCTTCTTTTCAAAGGATCTTTTTTTTTTGTTTGGGGTGCAGGCTCTGCTTCTTGCCATCCACAAGCTGAAAGTATCAGAAGAGCAGCGGAGGGCAGCAATTGATGCACACGAACCTCTTCTTGCTTTTGCTTTGAGCTGCGGAATGTATTCCTCTCCTGCGGTAATATGATATTCTCGCTGTTACTAATCTAGAATGGTTTGGAAGCTATATGAGTGAGCCTTGGAAACGTAATAGACAGAAGACAGTATCTTGGCAAGGGGGCTGGTTTGTTACCAATCAGAAAACTGACGTGAGTATGGTAAAACGAATGCAGGTGAGGATCTACACGGCAAAAGGAGTGAAGGAAGAGCTGGTAGAGGCGCAGAGGGACTTCATACAAGCATCGGTAGGGCTAAGCAGTAAAGGCAAACTCTTAGTGCCCAAAATGCTTCACAAGAACTTTGTCGATGACTCCAACTTGGCGCTGTGGATATCTCGGTACCTTCCACCTCATCAGGCGGCTTTCGTGGAGCAATGCCTCGCTCGTAGACGTCAGAGCCTTCTAGCTTCTCGTAACTGCGGCATCTTACCCTTTGACTCCTGCTTCCGATACCTCTTCCTCCCCGACAACATATACTGAGGGAGGGAGTGTGTTCTTACTTCTTGTGAGAAAAATGTAAATTTTGGTTGTTTCATATGTAATGAACTCAAGTGTTTTCCTTTGTGTTGTTGATGATCGATGCATATGATGTCATGTTTTTTTTGCAACCATGCAAGTTCATGTTGGATGTCTTCTCGGCTGTATGAATTCAGGTATCACCAATTTAGATAATAATCAAACCGGTTTAACCACAACCTTATATTAAAGAATTTGCTTTTAAAAGTAAATACTTTTGTCAATATAAATCCACTTGGATAAAATGATTCTGAATAATTATAATGTTTTAAAATTTTTAATGATCCAACCGAAATGCCACCTTTTTTTAGAAGTACGTGTGAAAAATAATTTAATCGACACTAATTAAAACCAACCACGACAAAACACTACCATTTTGAAAATGTCAAACACGTTTTTTGTAAAAAAATCAGATTGTGGTTTTGACGCTACAAATTGACGACGGCGGTCTATTTATTTCATTTTAATTTGACCTTTTATAATTTCAAAGTTTCAATAATGTACGAAACTGTTAACCTCGTTTGGGTCGTAGAAACGGACCGAGCGAAATCTACACGTGTGGAAGGTATAGTATTACATGCATGAAAATTTCCTTGGGTTGGGTTTGACGTAGATTCCATATACGTAGAAACGGACCCGGCGAAGTCTACACGTATAGAAGATATAACGTTCCACCTTTAGTACTACATGCATTAAAATTTCGTTGGGTTTGACGTAAATTCCGTATAATTAAATACTGTTTCAACTTCAATGGTAAAATGTCAGCTCTCTTTTTTCTGCATTCTCCGTATGACCATGATGCCCTTCGTTCGCACTATAAATAAATCTCCGGTCCATCCCTCTTTCTTCACGTGCATCCTCATCATTACCTCACGATTACATAATATAGATTCACACACTATATACAATGGCGAGAAATGAAGATTTCTTGGTGAAAGTGAGCAAAACCGAGGCCGTATCCGCTGCATTGCCGGTTCAAGAGTATTGGTTGCCTCTCTCTAACCTCGATCTCATGCTTCCTCCTGTGGATTTCTGCGTCTTCTTCTGCTACGACCATGTAGACGTGACCTTTGCCTCTACGGTCGTAACCCTCAAGAAGGCTTTGGCAGATACTCTCGCCCCTTACTACGCCTTTGCCGGCGAGATCACCACCAACAGCCTCGGAGAGCCCGAGCTTCTTTGTAATAACTATGGCGTCGAGTTCTCTGAGGCTCGCGCATATGTCAACCTCCATGATCTCGACTTGTACAGGTGAGGGAAACGTAAACCCATTTTTTATAATCATTTCATATCTATTTCGAAATATTGATCTGTTTATTTTCCCATAAATTCTCCGGAACAGGCTCGAAAAGAGCATTTACAGGCTTTTCCCAGAGAAGAAGCGTGGGGTGATGGCCGTACAGGCAACAGAGCTGAACTGCGGAAGCTTGATCGTGACGTGTCGGGTGCACCACCGCATCGCGGATGCTTACTCGGCCAATCTGTTCTTCGTGTCGTGGGCCGAGTCTGCTCGTTCCATGCCCATTTCCGTAGTTCCATCGTTCAGACGGTCGCTGCTCAGCTCCAGACACCCTCCGAAGCACAGCCCTTCCATGGATGAGTTGTACATGCCTTTGCCATCTGTTTCATCACCACCTAAACCTAAACGAAACCCCGATTCCAGCGATCTCGACGAGTTTGTAAGCCGAGTTTTTTACGTCGCAGCCTCGAAGATCGACGAGATTCAGTGTCTCGCAAGCTCCGAGTACTCGCGTGTCACCAAACTCGAAGCCTTCTGTGCGTTTCTGTGGAAACTGACGGCGAAAACGGAGCAAAAGTCAGGTGGTGCGAGAAAGGCAGCGCTGGGAATCGTCATTGACGGGAGGACAAGGCTGGGAGATAACGGCGTTAACAACATGGGTTCTTACATCGGGAACGTGTTGACGGCGCCGTTCAGACAGTGCGAAATGGCCGAGCTTGTCCGAAACCCTTTGGGTTCGGTGGCGCGTGAGGTCCACGGCGTGATCGAGACAGGAGCGAGCAAGGAGCACTTCATGGGCCTGATTGATTGGATTGAGGCTCAAAGGCCCAAGCCTATTACTCCGAAGGCTTATTGGGTGAATGATGGGCCTGCTGTGATGGTGTCGTCGGGGAGGCGTTTTCCGGTGAGGGAAGTGGATTTCGGGTGGGGCCCACCGGCGTTAGGTTCCTACTATTTCTCGGAATGGGGGAGCCCGATGGGTTATGTGATGCCGATGCCGAGTGCCACCGTGGATGGTGACTGGGTGGTTTACACGGTCCTCCCTAGGCGCGTGATCCACGTCATCACTGAAGAGGCTGCTGACATGTTCCGCCCCATGACCAATCAATATCTGACAGGTCATACTGTTTGAACCAAAAAAAAAAGTAAAACAATTTATTTTCCCTTCAATTGTTTTTTTTACGCTTCCGTTATTTGTTGTGGTATATCATTTTCTTTCCTTTTTTTTTTTTTTATAACCATAGAATTTCTTTCCTTGTTGTGTTTGTACTCAAATTATGTGTATTCCAACGATGTGTCCCTACTTAATAACGAATAAGATATTAAATTATTTATTTGGTCATAAGTATTACCAGTTTAATTTGTTAGACCTATATTTTATTCCGATATATTGAATTTTAATTTCTTTGATGAACACTAATATTTATATTTAATATCATTTGGGAAAATTTTACTTAAAAACTATTTCGCATTTAAAAATAGGTTTATCAATTATATTAATAGGCAGAAATCAAAACCGTTTAGACAAAACTATGATATCATAATTGTTTTTTATAGTGACGCCAGTGAGACAGTAGCATTTGTTTCTCAAGATTTGTTATTTTAATACAAAATTAAACACACATATATTTACTAATATACACATGCATTATACAAAAAAATATATATATATATCGAAGTTGTAAATATGTGTATGTTTTTACTTCCTGGTTTTTTTAATTAAAATGAAACGAATGAAAAAAAACAAGAAAAATCGTCAGTGTGTTAGATGTGATTACGAATTTATGAGTGGGTGTTTTCATTTTACCATAAATATAATACAGGGATTTTTTTTTAATATTATCGGCTAAAGGTTTATAATAAATAATAATTTCCAGATAGGGTAATAGTGATAAATTGATAATGGGCCTGAAATGGGCTCTTCAATTATGTTAGTGGATCAAAGTAAGGCCCGTTTAAACGTACTGTTTTCACTTTTGTAGACGGAATCGCGTGCCGTCTATTGTTTTTTTTAGACTATCAATAGGGTCCGACGGTCCTCACTCGCGCGCGTGATGCTCACGTCTCCGAACCCATAATGATTGGAAATGAGGGATAGTTTTTTTTTTTTGATAATACGTGATTTGCCAAGGGTGGAGTTCGAACCTGGGTGGAGCACTCTTTGCGCCAGTTGAACCAACCACTCTTGGCGAAACGAGGGATAGTTTAAATAATATGAAATGAAGCAACATGTGAACTATATTATTATGCAAATTCTGTCATTTCTAATATGTCGCTATTTTTTTTGGGAGGGGGGAAATGACACTTTATTTTCTAGAGAACAAATTACATAATTACATACTTTCTTTGCTATCGTCAAATAATGTTGTTCTAGTTGTGTATGTCTTTGGCTTTCCAGTCGTAACATTCCCAATCATGTGCATCGTGTTTTTTTTTTTAATGATGTTTAGGTTTTATTAATCTTTTTAAGTCGTGATGTTTAATTCCTTACGGAGGGTTGATTACAAGATGGAAATTCATACATAAACAACAATGGATCTATGCACTGGGCTGATCAACGGTCGTGTAGACTAGAAAATAAATGGGCTCTTCGTTCAGCCCATATGCTCTTATTCTGCAACTTCGCTAATATGATTTAAATGGGCTTAGGAGCCCATTGTTATTGTATAACACTAGGCCCGTGGTGATTTTGTACGCATCAACCTAGCTATAAAACGCGGAATCCCTCCTCCCGTCGTCGCTGTGATTCTCTTCTCTCTAGAGAAATCGAGGGCGAGGATCTGCGTTTGTCACCATGAGGGCGAAGGTACGGTCTCTTTCTCTTTGTTGGATCTGAGATGATTTCTGAGCTTTGATACGTTTTTTGTTCTCCGATGTCTGAACCTCGCTGTCTTTTCCCGCAACTTGATTCTTTGATGTTGATGGGATTTAGGGATGTAGTCAATCGATTTTCCCTTATATGTTTTGTCTCTTGGAAATTCCGAGGGGACTATTCAGTTATTACTGTCACTGATAAGCGATTTACAAGGAAAATTTGGGTGTATTTGTTTTAGATTCCGATATTTTTTCTAATCCTAATGTTTTCCGGGACGACTTTAGTGGGAAGTTGAGCGGAGATCGGTTGCGATCGTTGTTTATGCTAAAAGCGTTTTTGATATGGCATTGGCGTAGAGTGTATGATTAGGTACAGCGTAGCAAGACCTTCGAATGCCTGGTTTTCGTCTGCTTGCTCCTCGGTGTTTTTCCTGGTCTTCATCATTGTTGAAGAAGGAATCAGCTTCTTCTTCTACTGTGTTATTTGATATCTTGCATCTGAATAAAGTGTCTCCATTACGAACATGAGACAAGGTTGGTTGGATATGTTCAGTCTACTAACTGTTTGGGATTTGTGTTGGAATTTTTTTTGGGGGCAGTGGAAGAAGAAACGTATGAGGAGGCTGAAGAGAAAGCGCAGAAAGATGAGGCAGAGATCCAAGTAGAAGTCCAGTCTGTGGCTTTTGGTCTGCAACAGCCTTCCGCTTTTACTGAGTTGTAGCGTCGGTATCTAAGACTCTTTGAGAACTCATCGTCCCTGTGCTGTGTGCTCTATGTATGGATCCTCTGCAGTCGTCTCGTATATATTGTCATTGTTTCATTCGTGCAACTAATCGTCACCCACTTGCACAAAGGTTAGGCTAACTAAGCAATGTTCGACACAGCTCTTTGTTCAGACAGCAACACAATCCATTGGGAACTTTCATCAGGATCCTTACTTTGCTGTGGGACCTGTTGATTTGTCGCTTGAGAATGGGCAAGCTGTCTTCCAAGGAAGTGCCATGGTTGTACCTTATGCACAGCGGCTTTTATCACCTTGCTCCTCCTCACTCAGCTTTTTTTATTTTGTAACAAGGGTGCCACGTGGCGTAGCCCCGAGGCAATGCGTTTGCTCGTCCTGTGCCACGTCTAGTTATCTCGAGAAATGTCCAGCGTTTACGTACATATGAGGGTGGCTATTTCGGTTATTAACCGAATAAACGAGTCAAATCGAATTGAATAAGATATAACCGTATCTGAATTATATCTGACGTCATAACCGAACGGTTATAATTTTTTTAAATTCAAAAAAATTGAAACCGAATAAAAAATAACCGAAAAAACTGGAAAAAAAACTAAATTTTTTATCGAAATCGATCCGAAAAATAATTGAATCAAACCGAAATTTATATGAAAACCGAATAGTTATAGGTTTGATATTATTAAGTTTGGGTTTTTGTCGGAAGTTGTGAAAATTGTTAAATCGATACATGATAAAACTTAAATCGACGCATGAAATTAGGTACTTTTTAAAACCCGTATGAGGCCTGTATAGTCGGCCCGTTATAATTGGGCCTAATAGCAAACTGGGCCGAAAGAGAAGGCTCCGAGCACTCCACACCTATTGACCTGGCTGGCTGGCTCCTGACTAGTGCTGATTATTGAATGCCCACCTCTAAGCGGGAAGAGGAGAGCGGCGATTGACATGGCGTCGTCGAAGGCTCACCTCACCACCCTTCACCATCGTCTCTATCATGCTCTCAATCTCGGCTTCAGGTTCTCATCCTCTCTTCTTTTTCTTCCGGCTTCAACTCTTCTGGTTTCTTCCTTTCTTTCTTGATCCTAAACCTCTGCTTTCACGAACCTTGTGTTTGGAGTTATTTTTGTTTGTCATTTTTCAAGTTTCATCTCGTTCATGCCCGCGCACTTCTTGTTTTTGGATCTTCATTTCGTGGTCGAAACAGATGATTTTAGAACTTAGGTTTAAATTGCGACGCTCCTTATTTTGTTTTTTTAGGTTTTACCCTTTTCGATTTGTTTTCTTGTTTTTGTTGCTGATTTGCTCGTCTTATGAATTTTTTTTTGTCTTATCACTTGTGGTAGGTTGGGCGATGATAAGGAGAAGAAATGGGAGTGTACAGATATTGAGATACAGAGGCATGTGGTTCGGTCGATTACAGCTTTTCTTGATTGTTTCTCGCGGAGTACGTCAAATAATCGTCTTCTGAAGGTATAACACGCTCCATTCTGTTAATATTTTCATTGCATAGGCTCAACTTTCGTGCTTGATTCGAGGTTCTGGTTTCTGTTTCTGCTGCTCAGGATTCAGTTTCTGACATAACAAGGGCATTGGTATTTATTCTAGGCTGTAGAAATAAAGCAGTGTCAGGCATGGCGGCTGATGTGGTGGTTAGGTTGGTCCACATCGCTCCTAACTCTATGCTGCAGTTGTATGTATTGGATCTCGTGGGATCTTTGTCACCTTTGTTATGCTGTCATCAAGTGGAAGTTTGCCTTCCTGGTGCAACTGCTCTGAACACAATTCTTTTAAGCTTCAGAGAAATGAAGGAGAAAGTTGTGTGGAAAATTTTAGAAGAGACGAAAGTTGTTGTCTCTATCGTTGGTCGTCTAAGGGACTTCTCTGATGCTACTATCCCTTCGGAGTGCTTCCAGGAGATGGCTCCACTTTTAAGTACAATATTATTGAGATGGCCTCAATCGAGGTATTATGTCTGGAACAACTCAGAGTTGATGGTCATCTTGGAGGGTATTAGCCAAAAGCCTGACGTGGGTTTGAGAGTTGCGGCTTTGAAGTTGTATTCTGCTGTAGGTATATATGTTTACAATACTACAAGTTTGGAATCTATTGTATAAAAACTACCTGATCCATTGGCCTTTACTCAGTCGACTGAGTGTTTTTTTGGGTTCTATATTCCAGCTCTTTGTGGTCATGGAGCCAAAAAGCTTCTAGAGAATGGAAAACATATGTTAGATGTGATGATTAGTTGCATGGACAAGTTAAGCCCACAAAATGCTCGAACAGAAGGTTTCAAGCTAGCACAGAGGCTTGCGGTAATAATTACTCCAAGTACTTTGTTGACCTCCGGCTATCTCTATCTGTTGAGTATTTATAATGTGAGGATGTTGCTCAGACAGGTAAACAAGAGTGCTTGAGAATGATAGGCATGTGCTGTGAGCCTCTAGTGAAGATTATAGTTCAGGGAATGAATCGGTGTTCCTTGACCTCAGGAAAGCTTGCTAATGATCAGATTTCTTTGCTCATGGAGGCTTGTAAGCTGGCCCTAATCACCCGTTGGGAAGGAAAGCATCACATTTATTTCTGGAAGAATGGAATAGCACATGTGCTTCTTAGTCTTGTCATGGAGAATTTTCATGGTCAACGCTTAAGCAGTTCCATGTCTCTGGAAGAACAAATTTCAATTGCAGAAGAGGTCTTGAATGAGAATTTTCTACCTAGTCTGAGGTCATATATTTGGGATATAATAGGATTCTTGGCGATTCACTGTGAAGAAGAATTCACACCTGTTTTGCTTGGAGATGAGTTCCGTCTTAACTTTCTTGTCACATGTGCATGGTAGTATCCACATTTTGTTTCTTGTTTCTTGCCTATTTTTTAGAGATACAAGCAAATCTTAGTCCTATATTATCTCTGTTCTGATTAATTTTTCTTTGAATCTGTGAAGTTTGACCTTTTCAAGGTCAGTTCAGAGAGGATACCAAATCTGTCAAAACGATATGATCAGCGCCTCACAGAGCGAGTCCGCAGCAAGAGCAACGCTAATGATGATATATTCTTCCTGCAAATATGTATCATCAAAGGCTAGAGTTGTGCTTTCAGTTATCCTAGAAAAATGTGGTGGGCAGCATGTAAAATCCCTTCTCAATTTCCTGAGTTACACAGCATCGGGAAAAAGTCATATACTGCCACATATCTTACAAACCGCTGTCTGCTTGGTGGGTTTGGCCTGTTATTCTTGTATCCCGCAATATGCAAGTGTTGTTATAGAAAATCAAGGCATAGAAATATCATTGTCCTTCTGTAGCTGGTATCTTAGGAATCGTGACAATATTGGACCATCAAGTTTTGCTCCTCATCTCCAGAGCATTGTTGAGAAGAGCACATGCTGCTGGGCATGTGCAGAAGATTGGGACAACAAAGATACTCTTCTGCTTTATTCTCTTTGGGCAGTGGCCGAGATGTTATATCATTCTGGCTATGAACAGAATCACCTGGAAGAATTTTTTACTAAGAGAAAAAGTGTGAAAGATCAGTTATGCGCCACACTTGAGGAGATCCGAGATGGCATCTATGGTCTGGGTCCAAGATGGTATTCTGCTCACATCCTCAGTTATTTTGGATGCTATGGCTTCCGAAGTAAGTTGGGGAAAAGACTGATGAGAGCTTTCAACGATGAGGCATGCAGCGACATGCTACTTGTTTTTGCTAGTGAGAAGAATGTGAGTGTGCACAGAGTTATTCTTGCTGTTAGGTGTCCATCATTGCTACCTCCTGAGATGGGAGCTCTCAGTCGCTCATCAATAACAAGTGATAAGCCTCTGGGAATTGTTCAAGAAATTCGCATGTCTTCAAATGTGGATTCTCAGGCGCTCGTCAAATTGTTGGAATTTGCTTACTCTGGCTATGTGGAAGTTGAAAACACACTGTCGAAGAAGCTCAGAACTTTAGCAAGACATTGTAATTCACAAATTCTGCTGCATATGCTCAGCAGAAGGAGACCAAAGTGGGGATCTTCAATTCCCAGACTTGACCTTCGCCTTGCCCTCAATGCTACATTCCTCCACCTCTCGTAATTACTTTTTCCTGTCTTTCTTTTTATGGTTATGACTAAATAAACACTGGAATTGAACAAGGGTTTTTTCATAACTTCAGGGATGTCATATTAGAACCTAAAGAAGTGGATATACCTGGCTGGAACTGCCGTTTCTGTTCCTCAACGTTTCCTCATGTCCACGCTCATCGGGTTATACTTTGGTCAAGCTGTGAATATCTACGTGCCCTGTTCCAGTCTGGGATGCAGGAGAGGTATGTGGTAGATCTTCTCAAGCATCGTTAGTCGTTTAAAAACGTTTCTTTTAAATAAATCTTCAAACTATACCCAGTTGGCATGCAACTATAAATACAATATCACAAGTTGGCATGCGCAATAGAAATATGTTAGTGCTGTTCGCAAACTCCAGGATGTTCAAACGTGACTTTTTGCGGATCAAATGTATGATCTGATGCTACCTGTTTGGATTTTTCGAGACATAGATTTCCTCTCATCTGTGTCATTTCTGATATTTAAAAAATTTGCAGCCATTCAGACAGACTAAGTGTTCCCGTTGGCTGGCTGGCATTAACTAAGCTTCTCAGCTGGTTCTATGCCGATGAGCTGTCAAACCCTCCGTCGGGCTGTGTATGGGACAACATGAACAACGAGGAAAAACTACATGAACTACGTCCTTATGTTGAGATGTATTCACTGGCTGAGTTCTGGATTCTGGAAGATCTCCAAGAAGACTGTGCGCGGGTGATAGAGTCTTGTTTGAAGTCAGCCAAAGAGTTGTGGATCAGAATAATGGAAATAGCTGCAAATTTATCGCAATGGAAACTGGCAGAAGCAGCAGCTGATCATGCGGCTCCTATATACCATAAGCTGCGAGACTCTGGAGAGCTGGATGAGATAGATGAAGAGCTGGTGAACATGATACGGGCAGCTTCCGTTAGATTCTCTCAGTGCGGTAACATGACCTGAGGATCTCCTCCTCTCTTAACTTATAGGGGGCAGGCCAGCATGCAGCTGATCCGCATGCTGACATAGTTCGGGGTATGAGTTAATGATATGAGGGCTGTTAGGTTGGTTGATGCTCACTCAATCTCATTATTAATTTCCTCTCTATTAATTACGTCTCATGTAGTGGTACACTTTGCAGGATCTGACAGGTCACAGCACCCATGTCCGTCCGATGCGTGGTGGTAAATATCTTTCTTCAAAATGAAAATGTAAGCTTGATTGGTTGGTATGTCTGATTGTATTCTCTTTTATGGTATAGATTTCGAGATTCTTTTTCACGGTTTGTACTGTGGCCCAGATGTTAGGGTGATTCTTGTACCTGTTTACAAACGTTGTTGTTTGTTGTTGTTGCTGGAGGAGTTTTCAAAGTGTTATAGACACTTGTAAATCTCTACTGTTCAAGTTTAACAGCTTCATCTTCCTTGGTTATTATTAATTCATATATCGATAAAAGATAGAGGGGAGAAAGATTGGAGTTCGAGGCAAGGAAAACCGCGAGCATAAAGCTCGGAACTTCAGAAGGCTATAATTGTCAGGTCTTAAAAAAAAGATGGCGAGAGCAGCTTGTAGCAGCTTAGTTATTGCTTTAAGCCTCGTGCCGGTGAAGTCATCTCTGTGCAGAAATCAGTTTCTCTTCGCCGATAAATCCAGGTTCAAAATGCGATGTTTTTCTTCCAGAATAAGCATGAGCTTGAGATCCGGCATTGTTGGTCTCCCCAACGTTGCAAGGCCACTCTCTTTAATGCCATCGTAAGTTTTTGATGAATTCCTCTATGGTTTATGTTGTTAGATTTTGGATCTTCCTTTCGGCATTTCATTAAACACCTTCCGTGGACCTTCTTATTGGTTGCGATGGACTGTTGTTGCTATGGATTGCATATTTCAGGTTTCCATTTGTCATTTCATCGACACGTTTCTGTGAGCATCCCTATTAGTTTTTTTAGTTTTTTTTCTTTTTTGGGTTGTGATGGAGTGAATGGCTTAACTTAGGTTGAGAATGGAAAAGCTCAAGCTTTGGTACTTATGGTATTTTGAGTCTTTCATTCGGTTTCTGTTTGTCATTTCGTCAAACACCTTCCCATGAACATCCTTGTTAATTTCTATAGGTTGTGATAGATTGATGTTTCGTTGAATGGTGTAATTCAGGTTGAGAATAGAAAGGCTCAAGCTGCTAATTTTGCATGATTGAGCCCAATGTTGGTATTGTGGCTGTTCCTGATCAGCGTCTTCAAGTGCTCTCGGGTCTCAGTCATTCTCAGAAATCCGTCCCAGCATCCATAGAGTTTGTGGACATTGCTGGTCTTGTGAAAGGTGCCAGTCAAGGAGAGGTGACATTCATTTGCTCAAAGTCTTTCGTGCTCTGGTCGAGTTAAACTGCTGAATTCTGAGCTAAGACATCGTCCTTTTTCCTTGTAGGGTTTAGGCAATAAGTTCTTGTCTCACATCCGAGAGGCGAGAAATTGATTCAATTCTTCAGGTTTTTGCTTATTCTTGTTCATATTTCTATGGTTTCATTATTGATTTCTTAGTGGCGTTCCTCTCTGGAGTTGCAATATTAAAACTGTCCCACATTTAGTTTCTGGCTTCTGGTTGCATTGCTATTGTAGTTTATGTAAGCATTAAAAAAAGATTGTTTTGTTCCAGGTAGTAGGATGCTTTGAGGATAACTAACGACATTATTCATGTGAATGGCAGAGTGGATCCTAAGGCTGACATTGATGTCATCAATCTTGAACTTTTTTTCTCTTACTTGGGTCAGGTACACTGAGATGCTCGGACTTATCAAACTTTTGTACAGAGAGTTTAGTTTCTGACTAAAGGATAATGCGGAAACTTTTGTCAATATCTCGGGTTGATAATGATATTCATGGAGAACCCCTGCCCTATTCTCTGGAAATTGTTTCCCTGGGCTTCTACATGCTAGAGTGTTAAGTTTATGTTTGTTTATTTGGCCATAATGCTAATCTTGGTTATAGCGGGGTTTGTCGTAAATATGTCAAGCTCTAATATGCTTTGTCCAAGAAGTGCTGATAAACTGATTTGCACCTTTTACAAGAAATGCAGATTGGCAAAAGAATGGGGAAGTCCAAGGAGTCCCAATCCAAAGTCCAGGTAGACTCTCTTTTCATGGAAACTAGCAACATGTATATTTTGAATCCTACGGTCTGTTCAAAAAGTATGCGGCATTCTCTGGTTCAGGAGGGAGCAGAAAAGTCCGTCTTGGAAAGAGTTCAGGAGTCTCTTATGGATGGAAAACCTGCTCGGTCAGTCACTCTGGCAGCTCTTGAGAAGGACGCCGCCATAAAGCCGATGATGATCTACGCTGCGAATGTTGCAGAATCTGATCTAGCTGAGCCTGAGAATATTCCATACCGTTAAAGAAGTGAAGGGTCTTGCATCCGATTTATGTTTCATCGATTTCTGTATTAAATATTGGGAAGTCTTTTAGAACTTTTATTAGTAGTTATTAAGCTTATTGGCTAAAATATTGTCTTATCCATGATGAATTTGTCGGTCATATATATATATATATATAATATGCAAATCCTAACAAATAAACGGACGGGGAGTAAGAATACATAGACGTCACCAAGTGGTTGTACTCTACTCTTCTTTTTTTAGTGTGTGTTTCAAGTCTCTCTTTCTCTCGACCTTCCCTTGCTTCTCATCTTCAGACACACAGAGAGTATATATATGTTCTGGAATGCATAGAAACCATGAAGAAGATGAGAGAGATGATGGTGAGAAAATGCAAGAGCATATTGGGTCGTCCATACTCTTACAGCGATGAAAATTCCGAGAAAGAAGCAAGAGATGACCCAAACCCTATGCGAGACAGTGTTCGTGCCTCTGATATGATCCACGTGAATGGTGGAAGATCCTCAGTTTGGAGACAGGATCTATGAAGCAACTGACAAAGCGACCCTTACCACCTTCAAGGAACTGCCTGAAGGACCACCATGCAGTGGATAGCCCTTGGAACTCAAGGCAACCAACCCCAAATGCCCTCTTTTACCATATTCACTAAGAATTGTTTTATTCAACAACAGCTAAATGGGAGTTTCCAGTTGATAGAAAACGGTTTCTGCGCCATTCATGACATAGGTATGTCGTTTGAATCTTTGTTTTTTCATCACGGATCCTGTAAACGAGAACACGCCCCACTAAGGCATACATTATCATTTGTTAACCAGAAGAAGGCTCCTGATGATTCTTGCATGATTTAGTCTTAACAACACACATGGAGAAGATCTTAGCCTGCAAATTCCATCATCCTTCACACCCAAAAGCTGTTTTCAGCAAGAAACCATAGTAAGTGGCAATCAGATGCGTGGTGGTGGCTGGTTAAAGGGAAGTTCGATGGGTGTTGCATTCCCGTAAAACTCTTCCAAGTTATAGAACGTTCTTTGTGGCGGTAGAAATATATGGATCACAACATCCCCTGAAAATCAAGAACCAAGCAGTCATCATCGACCATAGAACGCATCAAGTAGCTTTTCTGGATAGAACAAGCCAAATGGCTCACCGAAATCCAGTAATGTCCAAGAATTCGGCTTTGAGTCTCCATTGGGAACTTTTCCATACTTGTTCTCTGCTAGATCTCTAATCCTGGACCTGCATTTTTTGCAGTTTCATGGTAAGAGGTAAAATTTCTGGTAAATGCTTCCACAAATGCACTTGTGAGTTTACCTACCCAATGGCGTCAATTTGAGGCCGTGAAAATGCGGTAGCTATGATGAAAAACCGAGTCCAGTACACGAGTGGCTTCACAAAGAGGACCTTTATGTCTGCAGCTTTCACGTCGCTTGCCACTTTGGCCATCTCCACAGCAACTTCAACAAAGTACGGATACTGTTAGTGTCCACATTTGCTAAAGGCCAATAATCAAAACCCTTTTTTGTTGCTTACAAGCTAGGCTTTCGGCATCATCGTCAACCTCAGCAGTCGGAGGTTTTTGGTCTTTACTCCGGTAAACAACCTTCCCATACTTTTTGAACAATTCATCCAACTCCTCATCCGTATCTTCATTAACGCTCTGCATAACACACATTTATCAGCAATCTGATCGAAGCAACTCGCTTCATAGAGCCGCGAGAGAGCAAGTGACTCGACTTCGATTTCAATGTGAATGACAGAAAAATTCAATATTTCATCAAATTTCTCATCCAACCCCTCCATCCGCTCATTAAAACGCCGAAGAAGCCTAAAATACGATACACACGCACCAGACAAAGCAAGCAAAACTACCAAATTTTCTCTTACAGCAAAAACCCAAAACAGTAAACTGCGAAACAGAAGTAGTTAGCAATCGTCGTACCCGTCGGAACCCATCTTCAGCTCCCTTCCCCAAAGCCGAAATCCGAGAGTTCCTGAAGAATTTCGAAATTTGGCTTCTGGGTGCTCGCCAAGAACACTGGTATTGTAGCGATAGATCTTCACAGAGGAATGATAAGGAAAAGCTTTTCCTCAGTATTCGAAGAGAAGTAGTTGGAAGACGGAACTCGCCGGAAAGTACAGTTCCGGAGACGGGGAGCGGGGCGGAACTCGCCATTGGCCGCTGAAGCAGAACGCTCTGATATTCGCCCTCGCCGTCGAGAGTGTTTGGTTACAAGATAAGCAGAGCAGAAGTTTGGTTACAAGATGATATGATTTCTTACGAGATATTTTAAGTTTATTCAATACTTCAAACAACAAATAAAAAAAAAAATGGGTGTCACTATACGTATCAACAAATAAATTTAAAAAATGTAATATTTTAAACGGAAGAAATTAGATTTGTTGTGCAATAAAAAGAAATTAATCAGAGGCTTAGACAACTTGAGGAATTTAATCTGTGTGAGCGAGTAAGTTTTTTCCAAACTTTAATAATAAAAATTGGTGTTTTAAATATGTTTGATATTTATAATCAATAAAAAATTATGAAATCAACGAATTCTATTTCCTTAGTCTAAAAAACTTCCTCCGTCTCAGAATTTGAGAGAGAGAGAGAGAGAGAGAGAGAGAGAGAGAGAGAGAGAGAGAGAGAGAGAGAAAACGTAAAGAAAAAAATAAAATAAAACCGTCCTTGACAAATGTTAAAAGAAACCAAGTGCCATCCTCACGCGCCGAAAATACGGAACGACGAAATTCGAGTGATTTCGGTGGGCTATAGGCCGGGAAAAACAGGCGCGTACGGTCGACGCGCTCATCCTGCGCGTGGTTTCAGAACAACAGTTATTTTGGGCCATTTTTATGATCTGGATTGACCTTTTCCGGCATCTGTTACTTATATTGGGCTTTATTAGCCCAATGGGTTTATTTTTTTTCCAAAGTTTACAGTTGGTCGGGTCGGGAACAATCTCCACGTCAATTTTGTATCGAAGTGAGAAAATGTCATGTTCGTTGATATCTACTGATTTCCGTGCTTCTGATGAGGATACGGATTAACGCAAAGGGCCGGTTTTAGATGTTAAAGCTTAAGCTCCACACCCGACGAAGCAACCAAATCAGTCACTCGCAAATTGTCGCCACCAAATATCACATCACATGTCTATACAAGCATAAGCATCGCCATACAGGCCAAACAGACTTGGTTGGATTGAAATGATTTGTTAAAAAAAAAAAAAAAGGAAATGGTGGATGACTAAAGACCCTGACTCAATCAGAGTTTTTGAGTTTGAAAAAATCCAAAATACGGACGTTTCGACATAAACAAATATTCAAAACAGATTAACTGTCGAAGGGAAAAATGGAATTGCACGTGTAACTGGTTATATAAACCAGATTTCGGTTTTGGGGTAGAAAACAGAGCGTATTCTTGATTTCCGCTATTAGAGCTCGATTGAAATTTGTATTATCTTCTATAACAACTCGATATAGTGAATTCCCTGCAAATGAGATCCAGACGAGATGTACTGATCTCACACTAGGATCAGGAACTCGTAAAATTGTGTGTCTTCGTTTCATTCTCGTTCGTCGTCTGTGTGAAATTCTAGCAAGATTCGGTGAGTTTTACAGGTCGAAGATCAACAATTGGTATCAGAGTCTAGTTGCGAACAGGGAGATTCATCGCCGGAAGAGAATTTAGAACGCAGTTTCGATTATTTCTCGGCTCAACAGGTGTTGGTTATGAATAGGGAGGTTCATCGCCAAAGAAGGATTTTATTGGTTCTTATCGAGAAATCCGAACTTGGAAAAGAAAGAACAGATGTTGGCCTGCAAATTGAATGTAGAAAAGTACGATGAAAAAAGAGATTTTTCGTTGTGCAAAGACAAGGTGCTCGCGAGCCTTGAAATTCTGAAACTACATGATGTTCTAAAGGAGGACTATGATCTGAAAGAAGGTGGAAGTGATTCTGAGATGACAAAGCCTAAATTGGAGGGTGCGGATCCAGAAACTCTCGTGGATGCCAAGACTAGTCTGATTTCAGAGACAATATATGAAAGAAGTCAACGAGTAAGGAATTTTATTCTCTTGAGTCTTTCATATTCGATTATGAGGAAAGTTAGGAAAGAACAAACTGCTGCGGAAATCTGGAAAGAATTGGAGGAAGAATTTATGCATAAATCTCTTCTAAATAAAATATATCTCAAACAGAGATTAATTGGATTTAGGATGGATGAATCAAAGAGTATAGAAGATAATGTAAATGTGTTCAAGAAGTTGGTCAATAATCTGATAAACCTGAAAATGGATGTGTCAGAGGAGCATCAAGTGTTGATCTTGTTGAACTCATTACCTGACCAAAATGATCAGCTGAAAGACACATTAAAATACAGTAGAAGGGAATCTATCACTTTTGACAAAATCACAAGGGCAGAATACTCGAAGGAATTGGAAATTGCTGCAAAGAAAGGCAAAAACCATGCTGAAGGCCTGATCATCAGAGGTGGAATCGAGAAACGAGAACCTAAGAATGAGAAGTAAGGGGTGTCAAAAAAGTCCGAGGCCCGTTACCCGGCCCGAGCCCGCCCGTAAAATTTACGGGCTTGGGCCTAAGAAATTGAAACCCGGTCATCCATCGGGCCGGGTCGGCCCGGCCCGAAAAATGCGGGTCAAAATGCGGGCTTGGGTCGGGCTAGGCTGGCCCGACCCGTCGGCCCGAAAAAATAAATATATTATATATTATATAATATAAATATATATAGATATAGATAAATATATATACATACATGTATAAATATATACATATTAATTCACTAATATTAAAATAAATTTTATTATTATATTTTTTCTATTTTGATAATTTTTATTAATAATTTTTATTTTTATTTTGTTATTATTTTTATTTAAAAAAAAAGTCTGAAACCCGGCCCGAACCCGAAAAAAGCCCATTGGGCCGGGCCTCGGGCCCAAGATTTTAAGCCCGCGTATGTTTCGGGACGGGCCGACCCGATCCGTAATTCTTCGGGTTTTTGTCGGGCTCAGGCCGGCCCGACCATTTTAACACCCCTAATGAGAAGATTAGAAGCAATTCTAGATCCAAGTCAAGAGGAAAAGGTGGGTCAGGATGTTGGTTCTACAGAAAAACTGGACATTTCAAAAGAGATATAGGAATAGAAAGAAACACTTAGAACAGAATCCGAATCAGGACTCGAGTGGAGCTGAGCCATTATGAATTCTGACTCAGAAACTGAGGTTCTTACAATCTCGGATCAGGACACTCAAGAAGAATGGATCTTGGACTCAAGGTGTACATTTTATATGACACCAAGAAAGGAGTGGTTTGAAAGTTTTCAAGAGTCACAAGGGGGAAGGGTACTAATGGAAAACAAACATACCTATGAAGTCAAAGGAGTTGGTTCAGTAAGGTTGAGATTGCAAAATGGTACTGTAACGACCCCGGGCCACTACGGAATATCAAAGTTGTCATCACACACAAACACGGGACCTTTTAACGTGTTTTGTCCTCACTCGCACACATTCCGGAAAGTAATTCCCAGGGGGTCACCCTAGGACTACTCCAAAGCAAGCACGCTTAACTTTGGAGTTCTCTCGAGATGGTTAACCGGAAAGGTAGATACATCTTGTTGTTATGAGTAGCCCAATTAATTCCTTTTAAGTTATCTCTGACTGTATAGTCTCATACCTACATAGCCCTCGGATCTCTCTCATTCCATTGCATTCGATTCAACCCTGTACCCCCTATCCAGAAGCTCATCAGGAGTCGCTCCTTGTTCGTGCATCTCGCACTGGCGATCACTCTCCACCCTTCTACGGTATCTTGGGTTATCACAGGCTCACCAACTTCTCGTCCTCGAACCACACCGTACTGGAAGAGAACGGGCTCTGATACCATTTATAACGACTCGAGGTCGCTACGGAATATCAAAGTTGTCCTCACACACCAACACAGGATCTTTTAGCGTGTTTTGTCCTCACTCGCACACATCCCGAAAGTACTTCCCAGGAAGTCACCAATCCTAAGACTACTCCAAAGCGAGCATGCTTAACTTTGGAGTTCTCTCGATATGCTTAAACGAAAAGGTAGATGCATCTTGTTGCTATGAGTAGTCCAATTAATTCCTTTTAAGTTATCTCTGACTGTGTAGTCTCATACCTACACAGCCCTCGGATCTCTTTCATTCTGATGCATTCGATTCATCCCTGTACCCCCTACCATAAAGCTCGTCAGGAGTCGCTCGTTGTCTGTGACTCTCGCACCGGCGATCTCTCCGTCCTCCTATGGTATCCTGGGTTATCACAGGTACAGTCAAAATCTTGGATCAAGTGAGGTATATACCTGGACTTAAACGTAACCTTATATTACTAGGAGCTTTGGACACATAAGGGTATTCTTACAAGTCTGAAGATGGAAACTTACGAGTTCTAAAAGGATAGCCAGTGGTATTAAAAGGGAAGCTAAGTAAAAGACTGTATGTGTTGTGTGGTTCGACAGTTGTTGGGTCTGTTCAACAATTCAACAACCAAAGGAAGGAAATTAATCTGTGGCATAGCATATTGGGTCATATGAGTGTGAGAGGGATGCCAGTATTAGCCAAGAAAGAAGTACTCGAAGAATCAAAGGTAAAAGGACTAAACTACTGTGAGAATTGTGTTTTGGGTAAAGCACATAAGTTCAGCTTCAAGATTGGAAAACATACAACAACTGAGATTCTGGGATATGTTCCGGGGATCCTCAAATGTGGTACCATCACTTTCAGGATGTTTGTACTTCCTTTCTATGGTGGATGATTTTTCTAGAAAAGTACGGTTATACCCCCGCAAGACAAAGACAGAAGCCTTCGAAAATTTTAAAGAATGGAAAGTACTAGTCGAGAATCTGACAGGGAAGCAGCTGAAACATCTAAGGACTGATAATGGATTGGAGTTTTGTAACCAATCCTATGATGAACTCTGCAAGGCAAGTGGAATCATGAGACATCGAACTTGCACCTACACTCCACAACAAAATGGGGTTGCAGAGAGAATGAACCGAACAATTATGGAAAATGTAAGGTGCTTATTGACAGAGTCAGGATTGGAGGAGAAGTTCTGGGCAGAGGCAGCAATGACAACCATGTATCTGATCAATAGGTCACCAGCTACAGTAGTAAACCTCGAGGTTCCAGAAAAGATTTGGATAGGAAAAGAGCCAACCTATTCTCACCTCAGAAGGTTTGGGTCGGTTGTCTACATTCATACTGATCAAGGTAAACTGAAACCCA